AATCAAGACCTATTATGTAAAGGTACAGAATCCCAATGATGAATGTAATTGTATTGTCTACCTAGATTGTACCAATAAACTCAATAAAAAGAAAAAAAGACATATAGGTTTTCACTCAGTAAATCACACACAGTTCATTTCCAGGTGTTTTATTAATATTAATATTAATATTACAAATATAATATTAAGTATAGTCACTTTATCTCCTTATCCTACCCTTAAATCTTAAGAAATAAATAGAATTAATATGTCGGAACAGAGATATGTATTTAAAATAACCCTTTTAAGGGTTTTCAGAATGATTGTAAAACTTAGCATGGTGGTACAGGCCTTTAATCCCAGCACTTGGGAGGCTGAGGAAGGAGGATCATAAGTTCAAGGAATGCTTGGGCTTCACTGTGAGTTCGAAGCTGACCTGGACTACATCGTAAGCCTCAAACAAAGAAAAAAAAATAACTGAAAAGTGTTCAAAACACACAGGAATGATAGTAAGAAAAGGGACACAAATTGAAAACAAGAAGCATGAACTCTCATGAATGTAAACCCAGCAAGGGTTAACAGTGTTGCTAAGTACAGAGTGAGGGGACAGGGCTGGGGAGGAAGCAGTGAGATGGGAGTACAGAGGAGTATAACTAATGCTCCAAGTTACAAGACACATTTTCCAGGTCTGCTTGAAGCCAATCGTAGTGGCCACATAACTCAGCTCAGGGCAACAGGATGAGATTGTGTGGTATGAAACTCCAGATGGGACAGCCGCCTCCCTGCCATCCACAACCCTAAGAAGCAGCCTTAGCTTCAAAAGCTCAGTGCCCGAGAGTGTGACACTAGCTGCCACGTGCTTTGGAACCGGAAGATGACAGTCACCTAAATCTCCAGGAACTTTGTGAAGTTGCCACAACACCTGGAAATGCCTCCCTCTGGGCTTCGTGTAGAATAAATACCTGTGCAATTAACACACTGGCTACCCTTGCTACATTTCAACCAAAAGCAATTGGTAACCAACAGACAACAGAATCAGGCTTCGCAGACCAGGGCTTTACAGACAAACACGGTGCTTCCCCCTCCACGCCATGGTTTCACTGTACAGTTTCACTTATCCAGGGTCATCTGAGGTCCAAAAATATTGAATGGAAAATTCCGGAAATAAACATTTGCTAAGTTTTAAATCGCACCACGTCCTGAGTAGGGAGACGAGATCTTGTGCCCAGATGTGGCTCATCCCTTCGTCCAGCACACTTACGCTGCATGTGACACCTGCCTGTGTCACTTAGAGACACTTCAGAGGTCAGGCTGACCACTGACATCACCTAGAGCTGCCCCAGTGTCCATGGCACTCACCTCACTTCACGTCGGCACAGGCACCGCAAGGTCCCCATCACCTCAAGCAGGGTGAGGGTGGGACAGGAAGATACTTGGAGAAAGAGACCACTTCACCTTTTATTATAGGACCCTGTTATCACTGTGCTATGTTATTAATTTCAACCACCTACGGTGCTTAATTTATATAAATTAAACTTCATTATAAACATCCATAAATCAGAAGAAAACGGTAAATACTATCTGATGTTTCAGGTATCTGCTGGGGGTCTTTAAAAACACACACTAAAAATAAGGAAGGACTATTGTATAGAAAGATAGCATCCCAAACAAATTCAGGAGAAACTGACAAGTCCAATACACAGAAATACATTAAATATAACATTTAAACATTTAAATTTTTAATAGTGAGTAGGTAATGTGTACTTATAGAGAGAAAAAAGTCTGGAAAGATGCATCGTAATACCACCGAGGTTATTTCTAGGAATAAAATTACAAAGGGTATCCATTTCCTTTATTACTAATTAGAATTTTTTAAAGTGTTTTGCAGAATTTTCATAATTAGAATAAGTATACCCTTTAACCGATACTATTCACCTTCACACCAAAAAAGAAATAAAAAGTTCATATGGATAGGAAACTACTTAGATGTATAAGGGGCACAAGGTCAAGTAATCTTAGCCATGTTTTCTCCTAACTTCACCCTCTGATCCTCCCCAGGGAAGAACGGTTTCCATTTTAGGCCAGTACACACACCCACCTTCCCATCGGCCGGTCAGCACCAGGCTCCTATTAATGACCACGTCGATTTCTGTGGCGCCATCCTCCACAGCCAATCGGATCTCTTCCAATCGAGTTTTTAAATGAGTCTGTGCAGCTGGAAAGCCAGTGGCCACTAGCAGAGATTCAACAGGAAGGAAGGAAAGAAGGAAGGAAGGAAGGGAGGGAGGGAGGAAGGAAGGGAGGGAGGGAGAGAGGGAGGGAGGAAGGAAGGAAGGAAGGAAGGAAGGAAGGAAGGAAGGAAGGAAGGAAGGAAGGAAGGAAGGAAAAGGGAAGGGACGGAGGGAGGGAGGAAAAAAGGTGGGAGACAGGAAGGTAAAGAAAGAGAGAGCGAGGGAAGAAAAACAAATTTCAATTGATTAGTAACTGAACAAAGAATTTCATTTCCAACCCACTCCTCTAAAAAAACCAACATTGAGAGACCAAAGCATTAATGACACTTGAGAACATCATTTACACAGCTGAGCATGGTGACATAGACCAATCATTCCAGCACTTGGGAAGCTGAGGCAGGAGGATCACAAGTTCAAGGCCAGCCTCAGCTACAGAGCAAGATCCTGTCTTAAAAAAAACTAAATAAAAATAGACTTCACTTACATATAACATAAATGTGAAGAAACAGAATGTTACTTCACATTGCTTTGGTGTTAGGACAAATACTAACATTATAATCTCTGGAAGGCCTCAAATTAAGATGTTGCAAAGATTTTATGAGGGTATATGGAGTAACTACTAGCAATTAAGAAAATGTTATCAACATAGCAGGACTCATAAAACAATAACTGTAGCCTTGTTTTGACTAGTTAATTCAAGTTCACCATCTTCATTTACTCATTTACTGTTGATGTATTCAGTTGTGAATGAAACTCTTTAGCTGTCGAAAACAGATTATAGTATAATTTGCTCCCACTGCCTATCTTAAAACAACCAGGTAAGCACATGAGAATAAAAGGAAGAGGGTACTAGCGAGGGAACTGCATCAGGACAGAGCTGGCAACTGGAAAACCAGGAATAAATAAGAGAAAAATGAAAATATATCTGCACATCTGGAAAAAATTTGTGTTTAAATAAGAAAATGAAAATACATCAACATTTTTCAAAAGTATTAATAATTTTATATATACACCATTGGTTCCACCCCAATTTGTAAAAAGAATCTGTCTTTCCTTGATGTTCTTACATTCCTAGGGTCTGCTACCTTAACCGAAAGCACCTCCCTATTGTATAAAGGAAAAACGAAACTATGTGAGGCTGAGGAAAAGTTCAAATCCATAAAGGTGTAGCTGCCCAACACTTCAGGGACCTTCCAGACATGCTGTGTGTAGGTGCACCACGTTTCCTTGGATGTGTCCTCATAAAACAGATGAGTGCTCTTTACAGGCGGCTTCTTTACTCTTCTAACATCTTTAAAAGCAGAATCTAATTTTGAATCTGTCTATCCACTCGTCCATCTGTCTGTCCACTTGTCCTCAGACACAGTTACTAAAATGAGACTGAGGAATTTCTTCTCCCACCTACCAAGTCCTCCTGACTCCACCTTGAGTCAGGGGCTCCTGCGGGCACCATCTTTCCTGGATCTTCTGGGCTTCTCCTCTCACATATGGTCTAGGATGAGTCCCCTGAATTCCACTTCTCCTCTTTCTAATTTGTCCCCACCATTGGCTATACCAAGAAGCTCATCGAGCCAGTCTCTGCCTAAAACCTTTCAGAGCCACCCTCATTGCCAGAATTTAGCTCCAATACCACAGTACTGCATGAAGGTCCCATGCTACTGGGCCCTACAACGCTTCTCGAGCCTCAACTCCCTCCGCTCCCACTTTGTCTTACTTGGATCCAACTACTGCAGGACCCCTTTCAGATCCCTCAACACCAACACGCTCCTGTGGCTTTACATTTTAGCTTCTCTAACCAAATACCATTCCCTCCCTTACCAACACTGTCAAATAATGATCATCTTTGCTAGGATGTATTCTCTCGCTCTCTGAGTGTCAGCAACCTTTGCAAAACAAATCATTCCCTGCTCAGAGCTACAGCTGTACTTTCTGCATATCTTCATTATTGTATTTTCCATGTCTATGATACAAACCTAGTTAAACCAGAATAATATGCATAAGTGGGTACATGTATAATACTATTATCACACATAATTGTTTCCACCTGCTTATTCCTCTTACACAAACTAAATTTCCTTAAAGATGGGGATATAGTTCTATATTCTTAGGACCTAAGGTTTGTTCTTCACCAAATAATAAAAAATGCTAAAAGCAAGAATCAATATAACTAACATAAAATTAATTTAAATAGTGGAACAAATGTATGTACAATATCCCACATTGTCTGAGTTGAAGATAAAAACATGTTCAGAAATAACTACAAAAGCCACAGTCAACCTTACCTGATGCCACAGGGATGTCACAGCCTGCAGCCTTTAGTGCTTTCACAGCATCACAAACCCGGGCAGGATAAACACAAACAGCAGCCACAGTGATGCCTTCAAAGGGAGAAATCATAACAGCCTACTTTATACGAAGTTCAACTCACACAATATGCTTTTAATTACTGTTTATACTACAACATTGGCAGAAATCAAAATGGGAGAAAAACTAATTCCCCCAGAATGCGGCAACAAATTAAAAGGTTTTCACTTTCCACATTGCCTTGTAGTTCTGGAAAACATGGATCATTTTCTGACTGCTATAGCCATGGAAACAATTCTGAAACATTGTTCTTTGAGGTTAAGATGATGCTCTATCTTGTTTAAATTCCTAAAAACTAGTCAGTCATCACGACTGAATGAAAATACTTTATTTCATGTAAAAGATAAAATCTAGGTTTGCACAACATTCAAAGAGGACAGTGGATAAAGAAAAATGTAAGTGAAATTTACAGGGTTACAACAAAGTAATATTTAACGAATTATCTTTTCTCTTTTGAAGGAAATAAAATCTGAACCTGGAGGCCTCATTTGAAGGTGTAAGCTCTTAAATTAAAAAAAAAAAAAATTGGCCACTATAAAACGAAGCAGTATCATCAGCTTATACAAAGCTGTTACTTTTAGCACTACAGATATGGCAAGAGTTTTTTGTTTTGCTTCACTTTGCTTTCTGGTACTGGGAGTTGAACCCTGGGCCTCGAACACGTCACTGAGCTAAAGTCACAGTCTCAAAAAGGTGTTTTATTGTCAACTGGAAAGAAACATAATCAATACTTCTCACATTATGGTGACGCCTGCTCCTCAGGCTTAGGCTGACATCTCTATTCACCTTCATAACAGTCAGGCAGGAACTGTGGAACCGTGGAGCACCTGCCCGTAAAGAGGAGATCTACGCCATGTTGGAAGTACCTCTTAGCTTTCCAGTTCTCGGTTCCTCGCTTAGAGAGGATGGGAAATGGCCAGGCCAGGCCTGGGGTGGTACAGGCCTGTAATCCCAGCACTCTGGGAGGCTGAAGCAGGAGGATCAAAAGTCAGAGCCCACGATGGTCCTTCACAACTTAAGGAAGTCCTATCTCAAAATAAAAATTTTAAAAACAGAGTGGGGATGCATCCCTGGGTTCAACCTTCAGGAGAGAGAAAGCACAAGCAAGAAAGACAGGTACAGACACAGACAGAGAGACAGAGACAGAGAAAGAGAGAGAGAAAGATAGAGAAATAGATTCCATTTCTAAATAAAATGAAGGTCTAATCTTATGGCAACTTTAGAAATCCTTTCCTCAGTGCATACTGACAAAGTGGACATAACTTTGTTTTTTGAAAGACTTGATTTATAAGCATGTGATATTTACCACTTGCATTTTATTCTCTAACGTATTTCATTTACCCACAGAAAATACTTTTATGTATGAGATGTGATTATTAACTAATGAGACTGCCTTTTTCATATATGGTTAGGTAATCAGAATCAGTGTTTAGAGACAATAGACAGAAAATTCCCAAAGCCGAGGAACTGCAAAGAAATATAAGAAAACTCTCTACCAGAAGCTTCAACCCATTGATAGAAAGAACTGACCTAAAAACAAGCCTCAGATTCCCATCTTGCTGTTTTCCAAGGGAGAGTCTCCATTATTTGTTTATACACACATGACCAGGGTTTCTGTCCCAGACTTTAGCACTAATGTCATCTCTGCTGCTGAATCCTAAGCTCTCTTAAAGCTAGTAATTAGTATTATAAGCAGGAAAACAGCAAATGCATTGCACACAAGATTACCTTCATCATGCATATTCAAGGCTTTTAAGAGATCTTCCCGGATTGGGTATTTGGCTTTGTAACAGAGCCTCTGAATGTTGGAAAAGGTATCATCACCCGACAGTGTGGTGAGATCTATAAAGGTAACCGCTTTCAGGAGCCAAGCAGCCTGGTAGGAAGAAAAGAAATAGAAATCAAATAAAAAATAAAATTAATTTCCAACTCTGTTAGTAGAAAATCATTAGACAAATATGGCTACTAATACCAGGCATTTGCACTGTTCTAAGGCATAGTATGATAGAGGATATAAACATAACTCAAGATGAGCCTTTCCAGCACTAAACAGAAAGAAAAAATAGCCTTCAATTTTTTTCTCCCACAGATAGCCCAAACTGAAACCTCTAATGTACCGCCTGTCCCCACTTCTGACCTTGCCACCTCATCCATCAGAACCCGCAGTGGGAAGAACTCGGGAAGATGTCTATCTTAATTTTCTCTCCCGCTCTAGGGTCACAGATGAGACATTATTTTTAAAAGTCTCTAAGTGACTTGTTGCTGTCTTTCAGTTTTAACTCAAACTCATTTTTTAGAACAATCCCCCTATTTCGCAGCTCATTCTGATGAATTTCCTTTTATCTTTTCAACCAGAATATTTCCACAATGTGCAATGTCACTCTGAAAGATGCAGTCACACTAGCCTGCCTTCCTCGGGGAGGGACTCTGAATCCCGCTTAGTCCAGCACAGCACGTCTTTGCCTGCAGAATATGCTGACCACAAGTACTCTGCAAAACAGTATCTCGGGAATTTTGAAAAATGACTTATTGAAAGTAACGGCAAGGTACACATGACGGTCAAAGAGGTGAATTCTTATACTGCCAGGCCTCCACAGTGGACGTACCACGTTTAGATGTTATGGCTTTACAATTAAAATAGAAGACAGCTGAAGAAGGCATGTCTAAGAAATTGAATAAGTGTGTTGAGAAAATACGCCATTTAATTCACTCATAAATAAAGATGCCTCAAATTCATTTGCGGTTTTGCCACTCAAGAGTGATAAGATTTTTAACTTGTTTGGATGAATGTGTTATCTTTCTCCAACCCATCATCATCATATATGAATTATTAAAATAAGTCAGGGACAGCTGCTATCTTTTAAGTTTCGATGCATCTTGAGCAAAATTCAATACCGTGGCCTTGAGGGAAGAGGCCCTGCGTTGTGAAACATGGGATGGAGTGCTCTGGAAGAACCCTTACCTGCCACTCCTTCTTCAAGGTTCTGCGCGCCTGGATTTGTTCCGCTCGCCTCAAAACTGCCGGTTGATTCACTTGTATGTTGGAGATCCAGCTAAGGTCTAAAGGAAAGAGAACGACACTTTCTGAAACTGAAAAGTTTCAACACAGCCACCTCTCATTACAGGCCTATCCTTGAAAGGATACGTTCATCATTAGCTATCAGTGTCCTCTTAAAATAGGCGCTGCCTTTCCACACAATAAACACATAACCTTGTTGAAGGACGCCGAGTCACCAGGAGACATACTTCACTTATGTCAAGTGTGCTGGGTACCAGAAGAACCCGTATTGATTCCCTACACGGCCAATAACAACAGCTAGGGGCGGGGGGCGGTGCGCCTGACAGCAAAGACCTATTTGTGAATGTCTTGTCCCGGAGAGCAAATGATTAATAAATACTTATGCGAATTAATGCAAGGGCTTAAAGGAATCCTTGATCACTACCCCTTTGCTGACAAGATTAATATCTACTAGATGCTGATAGGATAAAACCCATCAAAAGAGAATTTTTCAAAACATATTAGACATAACAATATTGATACAACAGAAGTTAGAAAAAAAGGAAAGCAAAAAAGCCACTCGGGGTTCCAGGAGGTTATCTCTGCTGCTTCTGTTCTAAAAGTTCTTCCTCCCACCTGTTCTTAAATTCTTTTTCTGCTTCCAGGTGACTATCTCCAGGCTAACCTGAGCCAGCTCTCAGCCTCACAGCAAGTGTTAAATTCATCAAGGAGTCCTTTTGAAATGGTTCCTCGTCCTCACTGCACTGTGAATCCCAATACTCTCCTGGAGAGCTGTATATCAAGTGCAATGTCTGGGCCACACGGATTTCTATGTCATACACTGACACCCAGGAACAGGTAGCCCCATGGTATACTGTTCAAGCCCCCTGACTTTCTGTAACTAAGCTCATTTCTATATCCCTCCAGGGAGTCCACAATTTTGAAGAATTACCTTAGAGATCTTTAAAAGACTGCTGTCAGAAAGTCATCCTTTAGAAAAAAACACTTCAATTACACTTCAATTATAACAGGACAGGAAAAAAAAAAAAACACTGACGACATGCCATATGTAATACAAGTAACATTAAAGTATTTGTAGCGACCACAAAGATGAGACCAAGAAAACTGATATGTACTAAAGACATTCTCTCCCATTTCCATCTGCTTCTTCTTCTTAAAAGTACAATATTAATGGTGCAGAAGTTCCAAGATTAAATCTAAATGATTACTAATGATGGTCTTATTTAAATATCACTAAAAAAAAAAAAACAGGCTGGGAATGGTTACACATGCCAGTAATCCCAGCACTGGGGAGGCTGAGGTAAGAGGATCACCGTGAGTTCAAGGCCAGCCTGGACCACATAGTGACACCCTGACTCAAAAATAAATAAAACAAAAAAGGAACAGTTTGAGTGCTTTTTCTCTAAATTTATTTTGTTAGCTGAAATCATTTAATAAAACAGATTTTTAACATTTCAATCCAACTGTTCCTGCTTCTCAAAGGTACATTTCCCTGTCTGTTTGCTGAGCCAACGTCACAAAGAAAATGAGACGCTGGGGGTCAGACAGACTTCTGCCACTTCCTTCCCACCCAAAGACTGAGTTGGTTCCAGGCAGAGCCTGAGGGACCAGGACCAGGACCAGAGAGACATACTAGACTCATCCAAATTAAAGACCTAATAGAACCCCCCTCTTCCCAAATACTGGGAAGGATCTGACTGTGTTTGTTTTCGTTTTTGTTTTGATCACCAATAATGGTAATTACGCCTGTGGTAAAGACTGTGTCAGGCAGATGGTAACAATGAGCGAAGCAGAGCTGAGTGAACCACGAAGCTCATGGCCAAGTAACTGTTCACAGCCGACCGCCAGATGGAAGCCTGTCACTCTGTGGGCATAGCTTGACGGGCCTGTCCTTGGTGGGTCGTAAAGGCCCTCACTGGAGTTCCTGCCCTCCTCTTCTCTGCTCCCCACACCCCATAATTGCCACACTGCTTGGGCAGAGATCCCGGGCAAAGCCAGGAGGTTCATGACCTGACTCTCTCCATGTTTTCATGGTCTTCGTCCTCCTCTCTGTCGCTCTAATTCTGGGTACACTGTGTCTAAGCAACAGGCGGGCCCCTGCTACGACAGGTCATATTCTCTCCGGACCTTAAGTTCTGTTTGATCCTTCTGCCTAGAATGTCGTCCCTTACCTCACCCAAAGAGCAAACTCCTGTTCATCTGTCAAGACACAGTGCAGAAGTCACCTTCCTCCGGGGCCTTCTGTAAACCTCACAGATGCAGTGTTACTTCCTTGTACTTCCTACAGCTCTGAAATCTATTTTTACTCCATCTCCTACACCCAGAATGGCAGTGATGTGTAATTGTTGATATCCTCATCAGATTTTTAAAACTCCAAGAAAACTACCTGCCATGCAGTAGGCACTCTATAAATAGGCCAAGTGGCTCCTGAAGACCAGAAATGACCTAATTCCAGACAACTGCTTTCCAGCTGCTTCTGACCAGAATGGACTTTTGGACTCCACAAGAGAAGATGGGACCAAAGTACAAATGGCATGCTTGGGAACATTCACTAGAAATCACTAATATTTAGTATAATTTCCACCCAAGGTTAGGACCAGCAAGGCCTGCTCTTACACTCCTCAGACATCACTTTTCCGAGATCCTTGAAAACCATCTACTGGAAGATGTAATAGGATCACTGCTCTCACAGTACCAGTCTCAACTGCTAAAAATATCACTCATGGCCATAAAATTATCCGGCCCCATATTTAATCCAGCCACAGAATTTGCCTCTGTGACCTCCCATGGCAATGAATTATATAAGTAACTATCTCATTTTATTGGCACTTAATTTGCTACTCTTTAATTTCATCAAATAACCCTTGTTCTCCTTACCGGGTCTGGGGAAAAGAAAGGACTGATTGGTCTTTGTTATGTCCTTCATAATTTTTAATATTTTATTCAAGTACCCTTTAGTGTCTCCTTTCTAGGAGAAGTGGCTCTAATGCACACAACCTGATCAGGCCCACGGAATCTTCTTCTTATGGGATCAGAGGGCAGCGAGCTTCAAGTACACATGCCTTTGGGGAGAACAGACATGAAACTGTAAGTGGAGGCAATAATGCTCTTCTTACAACTCTCTGATGAAGAAAAATGCCACTTTTCCCTTAGTATGTCATTTTGGTGGTATTCAGGCCCTTCTGTCAGTTATAAACTTTTTCTGAAATGCTAGTTTTATAATCTTTTTTATTATTATTTTCCTGGTTCAAGTCTCAGTGGAGACAGAGAAAATTTTCCCTGTAAACCTCTTTTCTAGCCTTGCTGTCACTTCTATTTGTGTTTTGGATGCTCTTGTGATCTTCACACTATTCCTAAAACATGGACCATAGATAATAACTCTACAAAGGGAGATGTATTTTCAATTTGGATCTTGCCTAGAAAGCAAGAAATTAAATTTCCCATTTGTCTCTTAATTCTTTCTGGGCTTTCATATCTAACTGTAGCACCCAAATCAGTTTCCTAATGTGTCTCTCAACAGTCATCTCCTGAAAGATTCTTGTATATTTTAGAGTCCCTTTGGGACAATGCACTTGTGAAGCAGGCAGCAGAACCACTGAGCTAAATCCCGGCCTTAGAGACCCTTCTTAACTGTACTCATTGAATTGTCTATTATTTCCACATTGCTTGCTTTCAATTCTAATTTAAATCCTCCCAGGAATCCATCACACCCTCTCCTATGTGCAAGTATCTAGTACAGAGATAGTTGTGCAATAAATAAATGCTTATATCACTGTAAATTTACTTTTCATATCAGACATTTAAACTACTAAAACATTAGAGGATCAAGTTTAATACTTCAACCTTAGCCTTAGAAAGGGTTAGGTTGGTTAGAAAAAGATTCCTGGGTGTCACAGCATATTTGATCCAGCCAGGCTCATGAGACACTCAATTTACACAGTAAATCATCAGATGTAGTCTTGCCCCAGCCCTAATTAAAAAAGACAAAAAACAGCCTAACAGCCCCATGCTTACCAGCAGGTGGCATCCGGAAGTCTTTTCAGAGTGTAGCATGGAACCAGCCTAGGCAAGTGCTCTAGGGTATCCATGCCCTCCTGGGCATCAGCCAACTCTCCTAACATTTTACCCAAAAACATGTTCAAGAAACCAAGACACAGCAACCTGACAATATATATCACCACAGCCCCAATACAACTCCCTTCTGCCACTGTGCCTTAATCTCTAACTCCTATCCCACACACAAACACTTCTGTAAGAGCATTTTTTAGAGTACTAACCCAAGTCCAGGTAAGAAATGAGTACTGTATTACATCCTCTAAAAAACTATAACTCAGAGGGCTTGCACCAAACACCAATCTGATCTCCCAGTTCATCACTTCTGTACCGAACTCCTCTACTCTCTGCTCACACTTCACTCCCACATAGCTATGATTTCCAGAATGTCTAGAATCCATCACTAAATGGGTTGCAATATCACAGTTTACATCATGAAAGTAGAAGATGGTCTGGGCTCACCTACCCTGGAAAAGCTTGAGAGGAAAAGTGGGAGAGAAACTACAGATCTGAGAAGAGCTTGGGGGTGGGGTGGATAATACACACACACACACACAAAACTGGTTCCACAGGTTTTATTAGTTAGAAATCTTCCCATTGAAAATAATGAATACTGACTTTGGCGGTTGGAAGAAAAAAGGGAAAGACACTAAGGGCTCAAAAATTGAGAAGAGACTGGAAGAGCAAGCTCAGAAAAAGACAGGAACCAAAGAGAGCCAGAAGCTAGAAGAACACTGAGAGCATTCAACATCAAAGGTCTGGCCAAGATGCCACAGCAGCTGCTGCCTGACCCCAATCTCTGCCATCATCTGGCCTTTACAGAGCCTCAGGTTCTGCAGGAAGGAGTCCAACACCTGAACCCAGGACACATGCTGTGCATGGCAATGTGAATAGCAAGGGAGAGAACCTTTTCCTTTTTCTGTCTGCTTCCAAGTCTGTAGACCAGGAACTTACTCCCCAACACAGAAGGCTCTGAGTCGGTTGCTGG